TGAAATATCTTTTCAGAGAGTTACATTTGGGTAAAGCGGAAAAGTGCCTACATTAATGTTCTCCGCAGCATGTATGTAGAAGTATGGATTGGGACTCTACCCATTTGTATTCATAGGACAAATTCGTTGTTACTGAATCGATACAGTTTGATAAAAAGCGAGCATGCCGGAGGGATAAATTAAAGATGCATCCATAAATGCGTATTGGCGTAGATACACAGATGTGTATGCTCGAGTAGGAATTTTCATTTATTTTTTTTTTTTTTTTTAGAAGTGCATAAAACTGCGTGAGGTTATATATTTTTTATGCGACCACCATCTCTTTTGAGTTCGCCGAAATACAACCTGCCTGACGTTCTTGCAAGGATTTCTACAGATTATTCAATTGCACCAGATGAGAAAAGTTGCGTCTATTATAAGGTAACAATGAAGTCATGCGAGTATTGAAATGTGTGTTAGCGAAAAGGGGAATATAGTTTTTTTTTTTTCCATATATGCACATGTTAGTAGGCATTTTTCTGTTTTTTTTTTTTTTTATCATCCACATATTATGACTTTTCGCATTACTTCAAGTTAACGCGTCCGTATAATGAATTCCCCTTGTGTGTCCTGTAAAAGGACAGGGAGATGGGATACAATTGGGGAAGACCAAACGTACATTTTTGTGTGCCCCCATAATTTGCCGCCTGTTCGTCAGTATACATTTTGCATGATTGTCATTTTGTTCTATTTTCCCATATAGGAATATTTTCCACATTCTATATATAGGAAGTGTTTTGAAAATCAATTTATGTCATTTAGTGAAAGGCAAATCATAACGCGTAAAAATTCACTTAACATTTTACACAAATTTTTACGAGCAGCATTCATCTTTTCAATGCGTAAGTTGGTCAGTTTTGTTTTTTTTTCTTAAGAATAACAGCGTCATTTCGTTAAATTTTTTTTTTTTTTTTTGTGCATGGCCTCTTTTTTTAAAGGAGACCTTTAATTGCAGTAACATTTTTACCATCGGCAGTAGCTCTGTGGTGATTCACTGATACTTCAAAGTGGATCGATGAAGGTCCGATACCCAACAATTCTCTCGGACTGGAGATCGTACGGAGAGGGAAGGGTTGTGTTCTGATTCCTGAACTTCGGCGGGGATCCTGTCCTATCCCTTCGCTACTGTCGAAACGGTTCTTTTTTTTTAACTTTGAAGAGAGAAAACATGTTTATTGGATCTTATATAAGTCTCTTCATATTTAACGTTTTTTACACCATTTTGTGTGACTTTATTGTGCCAATAAATGCGGGGAATCTTAGTTGGGGCTAAAGTGTTTAATAAAAAATATTTTCCCCGTGCAAGGGTCGATTTTCCAAAATGTTAAAGTGGGCACGATAAAAGGGAAAAAATAAAAAAACACTCAGTGCTTGTACATACTTAAAAAAAGAGTGAAAATTTTTCTTTAAATATTTCACTCCTTTTGCCCTTCATTTGTGTTATTTTTTTATTATTTTTTTTTTTTTTCCTTCTTCGACATGAGCACATATGAGTATGGTTCCTGTTGCGCTCATATATTTCTGGTGATACCTGCACAGCGGCAAGGCATGTGGATCTTGATGTGAACACTCAACGGTTCGATTCCTCGGAGGAGAACACTTGGGGAGTTGGGAGTTCATCAGATAGAGACGAAACACGCCGACCCGACCCACTGGCACTCTCTTCGGGGAAAGGTTCACCACCACCTTATTATATATTGTGTATTATATTATAAAAATCTCTTTTTACCTTTTTTCAAAACAGAAGAAAGGATCGCATGAAAGTTGCATAAGAATGAGCATTAATATTAAAGCAAACATTTGAACTTCTTTTAGTCGTAGCATTGTATTTTTCCGCAATTCTGGAGGTGATTTTTTTTTTTTTACTTGCCCCAATTATATATGAGTATGCCCCGTTTTGCACCTATCATTATTTATTGAGAGCAGCGGAGGCGAAAGGTACGCATATACTGACATGAGGATCAATGGTTTGATCCATTGAACCGTTCGAATAGGAGGTGTTTCACCAGAGGTAAATAATGCCTAGCTCGCTGGCTCAATCTTTGGGATGGAATCACACTAATTATATACGTGAGCCTAATTTTTATGTTTATAGTTTTTTTTTTCTTTTTCCGAAAAAGAAGTTAGTACTTTTAGTCGTAATATAACCTTATGACATACCATTTTTTCCCCTTTTTTACCTTCCTGGCCTTATTCACGGATGTAATGCTTTTTTTTTGTTTACTGATATGTATATTGACGTAGTGGGTGTATTGTTCGTGGGAACACTTCATTATCATTTCCCTTCCTGCGGAGGGGTGCGCGACGATTCAGGTTAATAATACAGGTTCGAAACCTCGGGTTGGAAGAATGAGCATGCCTACCCCACCAGCCCATGCGATTGCCGAGGGAGGGAGAACAGAACTCTTTTAATTTCAACAGAAAAATTTTCATTTCCATTCCTTTCATTCATTTTTTGCAAGATTAAAATGTTCACCTTATCTTATGATAATTTCACTCTTTCTTTTTTCTTTTTTTTTTTTTTTTTTCATCATGTGGGGATGCCCTTTTCCCATTGTATTCCCTTAGGATATGCAAGCTGGATCATCAGCGAGGCGCCACCACAAGAACTTCGAATTCGCAATGCGTGCTTTATCAGTATATGTGTGCAATTTTTTTTAAAAGGATGGAAATCCATAATGGGATTAAACAAGGACAAATATAATCCCGGTGAATTTCTCTGCGCACATGAATGTTCCACTGAGCGGATAATTCCCGATTGGGCAGAATTTTTTCTTTTTTATATGCACTCATGTTTACCTATACACTTTTTATTTCACTAATAATCTAACGGTCGGCATAGCTCGGTGGTGATTCACTGATACTTCAAAGTGGATCGATGAAGGTTCGATACCCAACAATTCTCTCGGACCGGAGATCGCACGGAGAGGGAGGGATTGTGTTCTAATTCCTGAACTTCGGCGGGGCTCCTGTCCTATCCCTTCGCGAGTGTCGATCGCCTTTTTTTTAATTTTATCGATATTTTCCACTTTTCCTTTTTTTTTATTTAACAAATGTGCCATTAGCTTCATAAATAAAGAAGGAAAACAAGTAAAACAAGTTCTTCATGCAAGCAAGCAGGTTATATTTTTCTTGGAATTCTTTAATGGATCAATTTTTCCCTTTTGCTAAATGCTCACCATGGTTGTAACGCCCCGCGTAAGGCTAAGTTCACGTCATAAAACGCGTAACTAATTTTTAAGTGTTACACAGACGATCAATGGAGACTTTAATTGTTCCGAACAAGGAGTTACGTTCTTTTATGTACGAATGAAAAGGGGAAATAATTCATTGTACTATTTCTATAGATAGCTCTCCCTTTCTCGTATTAACTCTGTGGGAACAACCTGAATGGGTTACAAAATGTGTGACCCCTATGCATATTGATCCCTCCCTTTTTAGCGCTAACATAAAAAGAGGCATTATTGAAATTAGTGTTGCCAAATGCGTGAGGATGTGCCTACCAAATTAGGGATTCACTTTTCCATACACACTAGTGCCGCGTTCAACTGCACGGCATCAGGATGAGGGTTAACAATCGAAATCGTGGCGGAGCAGTAGTTAAGGTTTTCCTAAATAGTGATCCCTTTTTTCGTTTTAAATACTTGCTTTTTTGGCCCCGCGATGATGCCACTGTGGTGAAATGATGTTTTTTCTTATTTTTTTTTGTTTTTTTTTGTTTTTCTTTGTTTTTCTTGGTTGTCTTCTTTTCCTTCTCTGGCGAGATGGGTGCAATTTTTCACAAGATGACCATTTAGGTAAGGGCGACTGAGTGGATAAGTCCCCCCTAAGGTGAATGTCTTCCCTGGTAAGTTGGAACTGATCTCACGGTAGCTAAGAGCGCATGCTGCCACTTCCCTGTTATGTTGCGTATCCCCATGCGGGGCCCTTTTTACTCTCCTGAACTAACAGAAGCGGTGTGACGAACTTGGTCAATCTTACTACGTCATGCGCGAATAAGGACTCCCCTATTCTTTCTCAAATGGGTGCACTGCAAAGAATGTCAAGCGAGCAGCGGGGAGAACGATGGAAGCATACTGAGTATGTGCATCAAAAAAGGGGGCAAAATTGTCGTACACCTTTACAGTGACTCAGAAAATCCATCGTGAGGACACAAATTGTACGCCTCTAAAGTAAACAAATGAATAGCCTTTTTCCTTTTTGAGCAATCAGAACGTTGCCCGCAAGTTGCGTGTCAAGTATTTATACAACATAACGAGCAAACACACACATAAACATGCACACAGCATGTGCATGCACATTTGGAGGCACGACACCCCAGTCCAGAAGCGGAGGAAGCAGAAGAGCTGAGAGCGGCGTATCTTTCTGCAAATGGCGAAAAGTTCCCCCTTCAAAGCATTTTTAGTTGCTTCTATTATTAAAGGGGAAATCAAATGGTGCGTTGTGGCTGAGATCGATTTGCACACTGCCATAAACAAGAAGGAATCAAAGGAAAATTAAATATTCTACAGAAAACTACTAAAAAAATTACTATCCGCGTAAAATTAAGAATAACAATGAATAGAACAAATAGAAGAAAAGGAAAAAACATAAAAAAAAAAGAAAAAAAAGAGAAAAAAAAAAAAGAGAGAGAGAGAAAAAACAAACACTAGCGTTTTAAGCACAATCATGCTTACGGTAAAATGGAAAATTCTGCCTTTGGATTTTCAGTCTAGATGAGAATAAACGTGGGAGGAACTTTCCTTTCTGTGTAGTTTGGTTTAATCGCTTTGTTTTGCTTTGGTTGGCTTAGTTTTGGTTGGTTTGGCTTGGTTAGCTTTGCTTTTCTTTTGCGTTTTGTTTGTCTTATATTTTCTTTCAATCTTGCTTCGTCTCTTTTCCATCCGGTTTGTCTTCTTTTAAGATCGACTTCTTTTCCCTTCGTTTCGTCTTCTTTTCCTTTAGTTTTGTCTTCTTTTCCTTTAGTTTTGTCTTCTTTTCCTCTTTTCGTCTGGATTTTTCCCTTTTGCACTTGGCTTCTTCCCCTTTACGTTTGATTTACGTTCCTTTTCTCTTTGCTTCCGTTCCGCTTTGAGTTGCTCCCCCACCACTTCGATTAGCTTCCCTTCCTCATCAATTAGCTCCACTTCCTCGTGGATTAGTTCCGCTAGATCTTGCATTTCCTGGGACATGGCTTCCTTTTGCTTTATTAAAGCGTCTTCATCTTCTTCTCCTCTTCCTCCTCCTGCTCCTTCTGCCGTTTCATCCTGCACCGGGGCCTATGTTGCTCCAAGAAAGATTCCTCCACCATGCTACTACTCCCACAGTTATGCCTCCCCATTCTATGTGCACTAACCTCCCTTTTAAGTATCTTCAAATTATCACTCATTAAGCCTTACAATTTCTTTTCCGTTATTTTTGTGAAACGTCTGCATATATTTCTAAGGTTATTAGTGAATTCATCATATTCGGCCCTGGTGAGGCTTCCACTCGTTGCATTTTCTACAAAATCGTAGATGCTTTCGATGCAGAATTCTTCCATCTCATTCAGATCATCAAATAGTCCCGTGCTGTATCCTTCCCAGAGATTAATCACCGTCTCGTTCGGTATTCCACATTTTAAGGTACGCTTATAAAACCACTTTTTTAAATACTCAATCATTTTATAGTAATCTATCTTCATACAATTAAAGGAATGGTAACATGCGATGAATGCTTCCTTTTGACTTAGTCGAACTTTTCCGGAGATGTCCACGTTATTTAACAATGCTTCTTTCTTTGAATCCTTGTTGATATCTGGCTCGGTGCATCCCTTGGGGAGTTTTTTAGCTGCTTTTCCTATAATATCCTTTTCATTTTTATCACCGTGAACTGCATTTTTAACGGGACCGACTTCACTTGCGTTGGCTTCGGTTAACTGTCTTTGCAATTTTCTTTCGCGCAGAAGAAGGGAGAAACTCTCTTTCGTTACAGGAACGACGTTCTGTGAGGGTTAGCAAAAAAAAGGGGCCAGTATAATTGCACAGGTTGCTTACGTGTGTGTTTAGCAAAGTCGAATGAGAGCATCGTAACGGGAGTGAAAAGTGCGCTTGTTAATACTGCCAACGTGGCTGAGGTGTTCGCTTTACCGAATAGAAAAGGCCGAGCAGAACGATCAACAGTTAGATGGTGTTCCTCCTGGAGAAGGCGGACGTCTTTACGTTCACAACGTTTGTCATTGTGGCTAATTATTGGGAAATATATAAGACAAAGGAGGTCTTGCAATTTAGAAAAAGAAAAAAACCTTCATAATGGACAAAAGGGGGTTCTCTTATGAAAGGGAGGGTATAATTATTCAGTTGCGCTAAACGGTGAGGGCACTTAGTCCTTTTAGAAATTCTCCTTTTTATGAAGTGGTCCTTTTTTAAAAACATCTCCTTAAATGTTCCCTTTTTAAAAGGGTAAAAAAGAAAAATCAGAAAAAAGAAAGATGCTATAAGGAGGAATTCACAAGGGGGGGAGAAAAACATTCGTTTTTCATCAACCGTTTGCAAACAATTTGAATCCTGTTATTGATCCAGAGCAACAGTTAAGAAATAATTATCATAGGGATTCTCTTTATCAGAGCACTGCTGTTTATCGGGGCGCTGCTCCTTATCAAGGTCAGTTTTTCTTTTTTTTTTTTTTCTGTCTATTCCAACGTGTATATATATACATTACGTACCTCCTAAATTGTGGCCGCATTAAACAGTTTAAGAAAAATATATTCTATTTGCCCTGTTGTATGGGTTACTTTTTTTTTAAATTGATTTGGTTTTAAAACTAAACATGGCCTATTTCGCCATTTCAGAATTTAGTTGACTCATTTTTTTTTTTTTTTAATTAATCAATTTCGTGGTCGACTATACTATGGATAAATTCGTTTGCTCCTCTTCGTAATCATTCTTGTAAACTTTTTTTGCGACTAACACTTGACGATTTTGCAAAAGGAGCAGAAGAAGAGGCAGAAGCGGAAGCAGACCCAGAAGCGAGTTGTTCTACTTTCGATTTCCTTTTTTATATGTTTTTATAGGGACATTGAATTCGCGCTGTGGTGAGAGTCACTTTCTTTTTGTACATAAAAAAAAAGGTTACAGATAGGAAGAGCGTTTTCGCATTTTTCCCTCCTTTTGACAAATCCTGTTTTATGCCGTTTGAGCCGAATTGACCATTACGGCATATATTTTATTCTATGCTCAATGAAACTTTCTAAATTGTCGCACAATCATTAGGATAAGGTGAAAAAAGGCACATCGAAGGGGCCAGATAAACGCCAAAATATAAATTAAGAAATGAAGAAATGAAGTTACATTTTGTTCGCAAAAAGGCGGAGGTCCGATGTTCTCATTTTTGCCCCTTTTTTGCTCTCTCATTCTCGTTCCAAAGGTACTTCTTTACCAATTTTCACGAGGCCGCAGATTATCCAAAAAATGTATAAAATGAAGGGGAAAAATGCACCCCATGTGTAATATAACAGTGAAGATGGTGATAGAACCAGTTTTCTACCGCTTCGAATTTGTCCAGTTTGGTAAAAGAAAAAAATAAGGAAAAAAAAATTTCTTACATTTTTTTTTTTAAAAAGGCATAGTATGCATATACGTCAAACCAAAACATATGAACTACCAAACTTATATGACACAAATGTACATATCGGAAAATGAAAATATCGATGAGGTATTTTTTACATAAAATAATAACCACGCCGATGAAAAAATGATTGTCCATTTTTTACATGTTTAGCCAGGTAAACTACACAAAGGAGGGGAGAGGATACACTCCAATTTTTATAATTATATATCACCACAATAGGCTTTAATTTTCCCCCTTCATTGCAATGAATTTTATAATTAAAGCTACGTGGTAGCTAGGAATACTTCCAGGCACTGCTCTTTTATATTGAAGAACACATTTTGTCCGTCCGATTGTTTTTTAAAAAGGGTCATTTTGGAGGAGACATCTTTATATAGGTCACCGCAACGATGGGTCACTTTTACTGACCTCAATATGACAATGCATGATAGTGATAAAATTCATGTCTTTCTTAATAAGGGCAAGACATACCTACGCTGCCGCAATGATGAAAGGCGCACTGCTAAGGTGAAATGATATGGGCGGGAAGCAATGATCCTAAATGGAAACACACCTCGAACAGCATGTTTTTTTCCTTTTTATCAACCCCTAATTTAGATGTTCCCCATTTTTGTGCTATGGACTAGTGACAAAAAAAAAAAAAAAAAAGTTAAATCCCTCGTTCTTGTCGGAGTTTATACTAAATTAATATTTAAAAAAAATAGGAAGAAACAGCAGGTCTCTTTTATATCTATTTTAATATAAAAAATATATTTTTTTTTGTACCTATTTAAGCTAATCTGTTGTTTTCATTGCTATAATCACAGAGCGGGTTTCTCTCAGATTATGGATAAATGGATAAGGTTACAAACAGCATGTAGCATCTTCGCCACATTTCCTTTTTTTTTTTTTTAGGGCATGATGAGTCTATTTATTCGTCCAAAAAAAACATATTTCTTTAATTCACAAATGGGGGGTTCTTCACTACGGTGCATTTAGAATTAGTACCTTTCTTCAGGTTGTAGAATATTTTTTTTTGTTGTACCCACTCAACTAAGTATATGTAGCACCTCTGCACTAACCCGTTTGTCGTTTTTTTAGTCCACGGTTCTCTTCGCTTAGATAAAAAACACGTCAAAATGGTATTTTTTTTGTTTCTCTCTCTCTAACTTGACTAAAGAATTAATCTCCTCTTTTACGGTCATATTAGAATCAATTTTTTTTTTTTTTTGCATCAAAAAGGAGAAAAGAAAATGTAATTTTTGTATGCTCTTCATAATACCAATTTGATTTCAATTTTTATTTTTTAGTCATATTTTTCCTAAATTGAGAATCTGAATTGTACTGCCACTTTTAAGTACCTTGCGTTCATTTTAGAAAGAATACCTTACCGTAGGTATACCTACAGAAGTATTCTAAACCTCAACATGTGGTAACATCGAAATGGTTGGAGTGTCCAAGTGGAACGGTACCCTGTTGGGCACCCTCTTTGGCGCCCTGATGCTGGTATGTCTGCCTTGAAGCATAGTGGGACAGACGTCCTTCTCCGTTGCGCGACTGATTGTGTGACTACCCCAAGGGCCGACTACGGGAATGACCGATAATTTCCCTTTCCCCTCGCTTTCTTTTTTCCTCTCCTTTTAGAACGCACTGTGTTGCCCCCAATCGGCGCCTCGCGGAAGGAGCCTCTCCGAGCTGTCGGTTTATCTGGCGTGTTATACAGAACCAAGGAACCACCACTCCGATGAATACCAAACCCGCGATAATGACATGGACGAACCCAAGGACCACCATCGCAGAGGGAGCAACTATAACCGTGGAGATGCATATGAAAGGAAAATTACATCCGAAGACCATGCGAATAGAATAGAAGGATATGAGTTAGACCCCGTGGATAAAAACAAGCTTTGCGACAAATGCAAAGCATATAATAGAATGCAGGAAATAGATGTCTATCGAAATGGAAACAAAATGAAACTTCAACACGAAAAGGATGCTTCAGTGTGTCAAGTAAATCAACACATTCTGGAAAAATTCAAAAGCGATGGTAGACCCCCATTTGGATGTACTCTCTGGGATCTTTCCCAAAGCTTATCGAACAAAGAAATTTTAAAAAAGGTAACTTATATAGCGTTCGATATAAGCTTACGGAAAGCCTTCATCGGGTACTACTACTTTATCATTTTCCTAAACAGATGCTACTACAGAATGATGTATAAAATGAACAGGTGGTTTATAAATGTAGCAAACACACATAACATTCCTGAGGACACTCGAGTGGAATACTGGGCGGAGTGTAGGAAGAATCTTATGAAGGATCTGGCAGTGCTGGAGCAAATAAGTAAAAAATATTTCGATATATTTATAAGAAGGGACCCCCGCGTGTGGGTTATCCACTATGAGTTTTGCTTGGAGAGCTGTAGAACATTGTGGAAAAAGGCTATGTTGGAAAACAGGGTAAAATGGGGCCGCACATTGGCCTTCTTGGTCATCGAATATAGTAATGAAATGAGGCTCATGCGAGAGGAACGAAGAAAATGGAAGAGCAGAGATAAACATGACGACGAAGACGACGGAGATAGCGACGACGGAGATAGTGACGACGGAGATAGTGACGACGGACGAAGCTACGATAGACGCAGCGACGATGGGCGCAGCAACAAAGGACGCAGCTACAACGGTGGCGATCCGAATTTTTGGTAAACTGTGGAGCTGTGAAACGAACCAGGGTGCATCCCAGCAGGTGCATTTCTTCACCGCTGATCATTTCGTACGACATGGGCGTTTTTTTCCCAAAAGGAGAAAATATCCCCATGGCATTCATCACCTCTAATTTTGTGTCTATCCCCTTTTTCCTTTGTTTTTGTACTTCCTTTCTATACTTTTTTGCAAACAAATTAGGTGCCACATTTGTACGCGCGGTGCCACCCATGCAATGCCAAACGTTCCATATTGAAGCATCATTTCTGGCAATAGTGTAACAAAAGAAACTACCAGAAAATGCATAAATAAGAAAGAGAAGAGGTTCCTTTTTCGTCTTGTAAATATCCTTTTCCCCTTCCCGCGTAATCGAGCCAATGTACGTTCTCCCTGCTCATTCGCCAGCCGTTCATGTATCAGTTAAGTGTGCCTTTTCCTTTTTTTGTATGTACTAATATTTGGCCGTTTTATCTTTTGTATTTTTTTTTTTTTTTTCTTTCTTGGAGCACTATGAAATGGGGAGAACTTCCTACTAAGCGCACTTTAAATGCTGACTTCGAGTAGGCAATTCAAATTTGGCGCCCGTTTCATCAGGTTTAATCTGCTATCTGCTGACAAATAGGTACCTAAGCAATGACTCTGCTGAATGGGTAAAAACACCCCCATACTGCGTGTTCCAAAAAAAAGAAAGAAAAAAAAAAAGAATAACAGGAAGGTAAAGAAAAGCCCCCATATATGAGCACAAAACTGATAAATATAAATATGTATCAGTGAACTGTATATCAAAGGGACGCCCTTCTTCCCATGGCAGGAAAAAATTGAGCACATGGGTATGCACAGCGAAAGTGCAGCACTTTCCTTCATGTCTGCTAGGATGAACCCGTATGATATGATCCCGGTGAAGTAATAATTTTGGTGTAGTGATCATCGCCATGTGAAGGACAAAAAAAAGGGGAGTTTAGCCCATAAAAGTATAGAGCTGACAAATATTATGCCACTTTTAACGAACAAATTGTGGACGAAAAAAGGCTAAAAGGAAGCGAGTTGTCTAAAATTGAAAGATCCATTTAGGATAATGGCGTGCTTGATTCAAGTGCATATGTAAACGTTATGCACTACTGCGAATGAGAGAAAAAAAAAAAAAAAAAAGAAAAACAATTTTCCCACATTTAACGATAAATTTCTGAAAGGAAATGGTCACCACACATTTGCTTCCCACTTAGTATTGAGGTGTTCCTTATCGATAATGAATGCACTCCTTACCGCATCCGTTTCGGCGTGACATGTTTATTGGTACCTACCCAAAGGAACTATTGTATGTATATTCCCCCTTTTGATGGGGTCTCTTTGAATTTTATTCTTCCTCTGATTTTTTCGGTCTCCATTTAAGGGGTCTCGTTTCTTCTAAACCATTTTTGCAAAGCTTATCCCTCACTCACCAGAATCCCCCCCACCGCTGGATGGTAACTGAATTTTTTCATTATAATTTGCAACTTCTTCCATGTAGATGTCAGTCCACTTGTCCACAATTTCTTCAATTGCGCGTCTCCATAATTCCTTGCAGAGAATCAGGCATCCAAAATAACGGCTGGTTGGCAGGACCCGCCTGTTTTTTCCCTTTACCATGCGTTCAAAATTGGATTTACTGTCTTGTTGTATCCTTGTTAAAATTTTTCTTTGATCCGTTTTACATTTATCCCAGTATTTCATTTGGACATCGTTAGGTATGCTGCTCCATCTTGACGTGTTAGCAAACCATCGTTTTAATTCTCTCATGACATTATTGTAACATCGGTTCAGGTAGATAATGTAATAATAAAATCCAATAAATGCATCCTCCTTACTTATGAAGAACAAGTAATAGGAAACGTGTTGAAAGATTTCACTGTTCGTCAGGCTTCGATCGAAGTCCTCTTGTACGTAACCGTACGAGAGGATCTCATCATCGTCAAATTTGAGCTGGAAGTCGTCACCGTCGCTGTAACTGTCATCGTCTGTTAAATTGCCTTTGGACTCACAGCTAAAGATTCTCAAATGCTCATCATAGCTGCAATCAACGATGCGATCAGCGCTGCCGACAACCCTGCAGTCAATAGTGGAACCATCGCTACAACCGGCGCTGCAATCATCGATGGAACCATCTACACTACTACACGCACTTATGCTCGTAGTCGAGTCACTCGTCTGATCGCAGTCCTCCAAGAAGAGCGACAGTTCAGATAGTCTTCTCCCGAAGATAACAGTCTGGCAACTCGATCGTGCATTCTCATACACTGGGCCAAGTGGGTTCTATAAACAGACGTTCACAAGTGGAGCATACATTTGTAGAGATGATAAACCCAAGTGAAACTAAAAAGAATTCAATGTATCGTCATTATCAAAAGAAAAAAAAAAAAAAATATATCAAATTTGATGTGGAAATATTTGCCTTACCGAAAACAGGGTAAACAAGAGCGAGCCGCTGAGCATGAAAAGACAGGACATCTTCAAACTTCCCATTTTGTCTGCGTTTTTTTGTAATATATTATATCTATAAATATACTTATGAATAATTCTTTTTCGATCACAACGCAATGATTTTTAAGGACAACTACATTTAGGCAAGCAATTTTAGACAAATGAAGAAAAAAAAAAAGAAAATCGCCCAGTTGTACATTTATTCTATTAAAAAAAAATACCTGGTATGTTAGGGAAAAGTACGCCAAATAAACATTTCAGGGAGAGTAAATTTTTTCGCGTCTAAAAAAAGCTGACATTTAAGAGAATAACAAAAATGTACTGCACGGTTACAAAAAAAAAGAAAAAAAGAAAAAAGAGAAAAAATTAACATGGAGATGCTAAGACTCACATTAACATAGTGCTGAACAATAGTACGCGGTCCAATACTAATTTGGAAACATGAGAAGGTATAAAGCTGAAAAAAAAAAAAAAAACAAAGTACCAACAGCACAGCTACAGTAGGCGAAGTAGAAGGGTTAAACGTTCCGTCTCAAGCCACCTATTATGCATCTAAAAGAATAGATCCCTCCTAGGGGCTACTAAATAGAATAAGCTTAAAAAGTACGGTATGGAAGGTATGGAAGAATCTGGCGATATTCACGCAAATAAATTAATTAACCACGGGTATTGTGGTTAGCCCAATTTGTATTTATAATTTAAGAAAAAAAAAAAACCACGGTACATGTATCCCTTCTCTATCTGACATTAGAACGGATGCTGCCTCAAAAGTTCATCTACTTTGTGATTATAAATTGTAACGGAAAACATGCGTTGAAAACTGCCATGATAGATTTACTCTCACAGCTCTAAATATGTGACCACGCCGTCACGTAAAAATGGTGAAGGTCACCGTTTGGTGCGTTATGCCTAGAATTTTACTCTCCAGCGGAAGTTACAACGTGCCTTTTATTTTATTATTATTTCTTTTTATTTTTTTTCATTTTTTTTATTTTTCTACATACATTGTCGCCCTTTTTGTTGAGTATAACCTGTGTATCCTGTTGCATCCGTTTCCTTATCCACCTGTTTCAATCTAGCAGATATGCGAAATTGCTTCGTTAACGAATGGTAACTTCCCTTTGGGGATTATCTTACGAAAAGAGACACGAACAACAGTGTGTATAGAAAGAAAAAACACCTTTTCGTTTTACTTCCCCCTGGTGGGCGAAGTGCCTCTCACTTTCTCCATCCGAGTAATATGATGCTAATGCGTTAAGACCCTCTACGCTTGACTCTAACGGACGCACATGGTGATGCGCTTTGTTTGATGTCTCTGTGTTGTAAGAGGATGCAGGTCGCTGTAGCCCTTCCCCTCATTTTCTGTAGCATGCCCGTCATATGTCCCTTCAAATATATAATTCTAAAAGGTGATCACCAGCAGGCATATCATATGCGCCCTTCCCTTCTCCGAGCAACCCGACAGTGATAAATGAGTTCCCGAGCGCACACCCTGAGAAGGGAGCGCGTGAGGCCATATAGATCAACAGCTGTCGCTGCTACTGCCGCTGGTACTGCGACTGCCTCTTCCTCTGCCACATGGGGGTATAGTACCTCCCCTAGAAATCGAAAAACTAGAAAACTGCGTCATGTTTGCAGATGTTTAATTAGTCATACGATTATTTCGCTACGCCGTCCATTTCGTAACTCCATCGCCATCGGCACTACGGACATTGCCCAGTACTGCTATCTCGCCACCGGCGCAAAGGAGTCTATGCTTCTTATAAAGTAATTTCCACAGAAGTGAGACACACAAAAAAAAGGAGCAGAAAGAAGAGGCAAAAGAATGGAGAAAAAAAAAGGAGCAAAAAAAAGGAGAAAAAGAAATGAAAAAAAAAAATACTTGTGCAAAATTAAAAATGTCCCATTTACCCCTGTTCGGGTACCCTTTCGTGAGAAACTGAAGGATGGCAAGCAGGATGATTGCACCTAAATTTTGTCACCTCGGGGGTGCAATTAGAATGGAAAGGAGGACCCACCTGTGCGTGCGCGTATGCCTCTTCATGCCGCTAACTGCCCCCACGATAGCTGCCTCTGCACATAACCGCCTCTTCTATAGGCTGCCCTTCTATAAATCTCTAGCTTGTTGTGCAAAATGAAGGTCCACTTCCTCTTGTTATAGCGCTTGGTATCTCTCCACAGTAGAGAACACCGACGGAGAAGCATATTAAACCTGAAAATAAATATTCTGCTGTGGGTACTCAGCGTTTCGAAGAAGTAGAATTTACTCATTAGTTCTATTTTCCTTAAGTCTTTAATCATGGCTGATCTGCATTCCTCCCAATATTTTCTTCGGAGGTTCTCTGGAAGACCATAGAACCTTGCCAAATCGGTATACCACTGTTTTAAGTTCCTCATCGACTGAGCATAAACTCTGTTCAGAAATGTTATGTAGTAGTAGTAGGCTATAAATGTTTCTCTTCTATTTAGGTAAAAAAAATGCGTGACAAAAAAATAAATCTGATCATTGGTTAAGTACGTGCTTATATCTCTTTTGGTGCATCCACATGGTAGTTGCCCATTTTTGCTAAACTTAAATACAAAGTCGTCACTGAGGGAATCATTTTCATCTGAATATGCATCGCTGTGGGGGAATATACTGCAATTTCTTCTGTCGTTGCTATGCCGTTTTAGATGCTCATTGTAGTGATGGGCATTGCTTAGATTGTCTTCGCTTCCATCGTATTCGTATCTGCGCTTCATATCCTGGTTTTTCTTCCTCCACTCGTCGTCTCGCCTGTAATCGTTCTTTTCCTCCTTCCACTCCTCCTCTTCCTCCGCTTCTTTGTCTTCATTCCCTTCATCCCCTTCCCCATTTCCGTACATGCCTTTCCCACCTGGAAGATTCCTGCTCATGCGTTCCTTGCTTTGTCCATTAAAATTTTCCAAAAAGAGTGACAGCTCGGAGAGGTTCCTTCCGCGACGAGCAGATTGGGCTCGGGGCAGTGCGTTCTAAAAGGGGAGAAAAAAAGAAAGCAACAGGGGGTGGAGAGAAATTATCGGTCATTAGGGTAGTCGCTCATTCGGTTAGCCACGCATTAGGGTAGTTACTCAGTCGCGCAACTGGGAAGGACCTTTGTCCCACTACGCTTCAAGACAGACGTACCTGCAGCAGGGAGGCAAAGAGGGTGCCCAATAGGGTGGCGTTCCACCTGGACAATCCAACCATTTCGATGTTACCAAGATGAAGCTTTGTACACGTTTGTAAGCAAACCAACCGAGGTAGCCCTACCACAGTGACCGCTCACTAACGCGCTGATATATTCTGCAACCACTTCTACGTAGGAACAATTTAGGAAAGTCAATGCTCAAAAAATCGTGACAAAAAGAAAAAATTGCAACCACATTTGCCCTTTTCGGAAGAAAAAAAAAAGAAAAAAAAGAAAATTGCCCCTAATATGAATACCAAGAAGAGATTACCTTAGCGAAATGAAATAAAAAGATTTCTATGCCATTTTGACGTTTCTTATATCTGAGCAGACCAAATCGTAGACTAAAAAAAAACGACAAACGGGCGAAGAGCACAGCTGGTACATACTAGTTGAGTGGGTAGAACAAAAAATGGTGCACAAGTGAGCGAAAGGCAGTGAACCGATGATGCTGACTCTCAATGTAGAGACGAGGCCCCCAAAGGCCTCCATTGGTGCATCTGAAAGGAATACTTTCCCATCTGAAGAGACAAACCACGCCCCTAAGCGAACTGCAGAAGTTAGCAAGGACAGCAGAAGGACGGAGTGGGGGGTGGTAACAAGTCAGTTTAGCCATGATCTGAACCAGAAAAAAAAACAAAAAAAAATAAAAAAAAAATAGAAAAAAAAAATTAAAAAATAAATTAAAAAAAAATAGAAAAGAAAAAAACAACAAAAGAACAAACGAAAGAGGTAGAGGGGATTTCTCTCTATGTATAAACGAAATACAAATCACATGCTGCCCTGCTCAGCGACATGGGGTCGCAAAGTTAACCAAATCGAAGATGTATCTTTTTTTTTTTATCAGTTAAATATGTCAAGTCACCACAAGGCAAAATGGCATTTGATAAATTTTTTTTTTACCATTTTTAATTGGGCTGCATTTTCAACGCATCTCTTTCTTCTCCTTCAAGTAGGAAAAAATAACTCCTTTTTAGTCACATAATATTTAAATGTCCGTTTTCCTTCCTGGAATGTTTTCTGCTTCTCCCTCATCCATCGTTGCAGCATATATAGTACGCGAGATATCCCATTTAGTAAAAATGGGGGAAACAAAATTCCCTTTTTTACTCCCTCTAGAGGAAGTATTATGTATATATAGAAGAAAAAAAAATCATCGCTATTTAGTCCTCCACTCAATTACTACTTTATTGCAAAAGGTAGAACAATTCTAAGTGTTTGCTTACCTGTTTAGCTAAAAGGGTGGTACTTTCCCTTTTTTGTTTGTTGCTATGATGGGGAGGTGGCGGGGTGGAGGAGTACCTTTATAACGATTACTAAATGAAGCAACGTGTGTGATTCTCTTGAAACTCCTTCTTTTTTTGAATGCTATGTAATATAAATATGGAACCGTTTTGTGGCAAAAATGACTGCCTTATGTTTTTCTCCCAATTTGACGAACGCGCCAAATGTTCGTCTTTAAAGGTAACACGATTTGTAATCGCCTCCGATAAAAAAAAAGAGAAAAGGTGTGTTAATACTTCCTAACATTTCGAAATGAATGGACTAAGCTCTTTAAGACCACATCACTTTTATGCTCACCAATTGAGAGAAGATAAATGGGGTAACTAAGCAAGGAACCACAAGGGGTGGCATCTGGATGGGGTACTCATGGCTTGTTTTGTTAAAATGGGAGACAAAAGAAGCCAGGGAGGATAAGGAAGGGAAGCAAAGGCAGGGAAGCGAAGGAGGGTCTGTTTTGCCTTTTCCTACACATGGAATGGCATCCTACTCTTAACTTTTCGGGAACAAGTCCACTGCTACCGTGCTCAATCGCTGATCGTGTGTTTAGACCGACAGAACTGGCCACGCCTGTGTGCGAGAGCGGAGACCATGTGACTGTTCGTCAAATGTAACGGCCAATTTTCATAACGCGCATGTCAATGCATGCGCGTAGGTGCATACGGAACCATGCCACTAATGGTCTCATTTCTGACTGGCACGAGAGCAACAAATGAGGGATTTTATCCCCCGATGAAGTCGCGTCACTGCGTTCATTAATGGGTTCAAATAGAAAGTGCGGGGCCATTACCACGGATGGGTAACGGCTAGCCTTACGAGTGCATCGCCATGTGGTGGCTAAGCGGGAAGAAATTGACCAAGTCGCGCGCACGAATAGGCCATCACAAACACACAACTACCTCTTCGCTGACCAAAGCTGCAATATCTAAGTGCTTACCATTGCTCTTCCGAAAGGGAAAAAACAATCATCTCCGAGGCGCATGTGGGATGTAACTGTAAAAAGAATCAAGACACAAATGTCCCTTTTTTCACCCCGTCATCGAATAATTGAAGATGTCGAGTCATCCTCTATAATGTTCCCTTTTTCGTCCCTTTTCCAACTTCCACCTTTTATCTCCTTTGAGTAATATATACTCCCTGTTTACTCTCGCTCTGTAGATCGTCACTCTCTGGGTCCAAATAGTAATATACTTGTCCCTCTTTTCGGATAACCCTTCTAACTGTTATCCCTGTAAGAAGGATATATTGCAAATTTTCAAATGGCACAGTCCATATATATTTTTCCTCTTTTTACCACCAAAATTGTTAAAGAGAATTTTTACATGTTATTGTGTTGCTTCTCATTCGTGTGATGATTCCCATTTGCGTGATGATTCCCATTCTCGTCCTGCTTCTCCCTCAATATAGCATCATTCAAAAAAGAGCGACAGCTGGGACAAACTTCTTGCACACCTAGATGGGTATGTCCCTGCCAAGGTCCCCACCTGCGTTGCCCCATTTCGGCTGTGAAAAAATAAAATAAGAAGTCTAAACCGTTTGCTCATATCTTCTGTAAAATGAAAAAGGAAAGTAACTCCTCCTTGGGTTATCTTCCCCGACGTGACAATTGGAGGTGGCAAAAAAAAAAAAAAGGGAAAACCAAATTGTTACTGCAACTTAAGGGGTTCTATGTGCACATTTATATGTATGTGAATGGCGCCTCCTTTATGATCCTTCTTAGTTGTCCTTTTTTCTTTGATGCCACTGTCCAGGCATTTCACACTCGATCACTTCATTCTACCCACACCACAATGTTAAGTAGAGTGGAGTGAACTTAACGCATATGTCCGCTATCGCAGAAACGGGGGAGGAAAAACATGTGCACAGGAAAACTCAGAAAGTCAAATGTGTCTTCCCTTCAGTAACGTCCCTATGGTGCCACTCAAATTTGCAGAGGGGAGTGACCGTCGACTGGATGTGAATGCCTTTCTATTTGGTGGCCTCCACAAGCTACTTCCACATGCTGCCTCCACCAAGTAGTCACCACAGCGTGATAAGAATATCCCTATGATTAAACACATTTTGATGTTTCTCTTTGATACCCCTCGTCGATAAACCGTATCGAGGTGCACCTTTAACTCCACAGAGAGGTGGAGGACGCCACAGTGCGGAGCAAATCCTTTAAGGGGGGAACCCTACCCAAGATAGTTATGGCCCAGTTCAGCCTCCAACAGAGTGTCTTCAAATAAAAATGCCAAACAGGACTGCATATAAAAAAAAGTATACCTTTCAATAGGCACGCCTCTTTTATAATGCTATTATGGAAACGACGTGGAGACAACACAATGGTGATGTGCGTTCAGCGCAGGAGTGATGATGACCCTTATGGGGACCTTTCCCAAGTTGGAACATGCTTTGCCAGTATATATATGCACGCACGGGAACGCCTTGACGACCCACTTCCGTCGCACTAATTGCAACTTCGCCAAATTGGCCTAACGTGGGGAGGTGGGGGAGGAAAAATGGCATAAAGATCTCCTTCCCATGGGTATGTGTCCAAATGCCCAACTTCGCGGAAAGGCGGGGGAAAGAGGAACTTCCTCCCACATGGGATGCTTCTCCCCCAGGGACACACAGAATTGACCCAACCTCTGATCCTACAAAATGGTCAATCCGTTATTCTTCTTTTTTCCTGGCGCTTGTCATGTTTTACTTACGCCCTCACATGCAAACACATGACATGCGGTGGAAGCAAATTAGCATCCCGATTTGTTAAAAATGAAGCCAGCGTCTTTTTACAGACTTTCACCATAGGGGCACAACTGTTCGCACCTCTCCCGATGTGGAGGAAAAAAAAAAAAAAAACGCGATAAGAAAAGAGATACACAATATGGGAGACGCGTGCACTTTGAATTTTTTGAACTGCACTTTATACGATGAAGACGCGCTTTTTTTTTTTTCTTTTCTCACCATTGGGTTCGTACTTTATGCAAACGTGAGTTAAATTGCAAAAGTACGTTTACACCATTTTCCTGACTTTTTTTTTAAGCTGCCACTTTTTGAATTTTAAAAATAATTTCAAGTCCAGCACGGGATGATCGCTTTTCCCTTCCGTCTTATCGCAGCACTGGTACCAGTTAAGATAGGTATTTTTTTAGTGCACATATGTATTTAAGAGTGCGAGCGGAAATCGGATGTAAATGTATGCCCATACTTCCGCGCACAGTTGCTTCGGGGGAAGTACCCATTTTGACGTTTTTTCTTTTACCTCTTGGGAGCGACATGTTCATAGCTGTGGAGAACTAACTATATTCAGAAAGAAAAAAAAAAAAAAATATTCCCCAGAGTGCACAATAACGAAACGTGTGGATCTGATTTATATGCTCCCTCATGACCTTTCCGTTCGATTTTTTTCTCCTTCCTTTGTCTTGACGCTTGTTCAGGCCGAGTGGCAGGTAGAGCATCCGCGCAACGCGAACGATAAACAAATACATATTTATATATGAGTATGCGTATGTATATCTATGCCTATACATACACATGTGCACGCACATACATATGCTTAGATACACAGGCTCCTCATACAACCTGCTGAACAAAAAAGAAGACTGCTTCTTTGCCCGCGCAATTTTCGTTTGCCGCATCGCAACCACGCGCCAGGTACATTAGCGCGGGTGAAACAGAACAGCACAAGTAGTCAACCCATGAGCCCATTGGCGGGACTCATTGACTCAGGTGATTTATTGGGCTGATTGGCTCGGCTGATTTATTGGGCCCTTAACACGCGCAATTCATACTCGCTTAGTTATACCATAGTCAAAAACATCTGTGTGATACTTGTGGTCAGCATGCAGTAACCAAACAATCTCACCTAATCGGAAAATTGCGCTCACGCAATTTTTACCGTATGTTTCTTACGTACCTGATGAATTGGTCGAGCTTCCCGACAAAACCTTACAGCCTCATCTTGCTAGTGTAGTGGAAGCTTGCCTCATTTTGCTCCTTTAGTGGAAACATGCCTGATTTTTTTTTTTCGTGCGCTCCGTTTATTTCTGTTTCCCTATTTTTCCCCTCTCCGTATTTTATTTTATTATTTTTTACGCGTTGCAGCTCCCCGCTTGAAATAGCAAAAGGATTGAGCTTCCTTGCCGCTTTTTTTCGTCCCTCATTCAGGGATTGCTCGTCATTTTTTTCTTTGACGACTTTTATTTGCTTCCCGTTTCCCCTCATGAATGCACCGCAAACCTGCCAGGGCGAGTGAGCCATTGGGATGACAAATACATGGTGAGATTTTTCCACACCACTTTTATGTATTTTCTTTTTTTTACGTGTAATTTCTCAAAGCGGCGTTCTTCATACGTTCCATTTTTGGCCTTCCCTTCCTTTCCAAATTGGACTCGGTTGGGACGACGACTGCTCCGCCTTACATGGGAGGTAGAGGCGGAGTGGTCTGCTTCGCGAACGGCGGAGCCGATCAGCGACAAACCGCCGGCAATCTGTTGCCACTGCCGAGGTGATAATCAAAATGGACGTATTCGAATTTGTGGAACCTCTGAGGAAGCGAAAAATTACGAAAAATCTCTTTGACTTCGATCAGTATGTGTACAAAGAGAAGCTGGAAGAATCGGAGGAGAAAAAAAGCGAAGAGTATGTCGTGAAGAAGAAGAAGAAAAAAAAGAAACTGAGAAGAGTACTGGACAGTTCAAATAGCGAGGGGGATAAAGACGATTCGAAGGGGGATCATTCCCTCCAGTTGGGGAAGACGCGAAAGGGACGAGATCATGAGAGCCCCAAGAAGGAAGTCGAAGACGAGGAACAAAAGGATGCCACTCCGTATCATCAAAATGGAGATAACAACCTAAGTGACGATAAAGATTACTCCATGTCTAACGAGGCAGAGGAGGAGAAGGAGTATGAAAAAAATCTGAAAGACCTATTCGAATGCTTATTAGCCTCCATAAAGATAAAGAACAAAATTATAGAATACTTCACTTCAAACGTGAAAGAAAAGAGACAAGAGATTATCAAAGAATTTGTAAAGGGGTCCTTCCGAGTAAGTAACTTCGACGCCAATTTCAACAGCTTCGAGAAAGATGTGGATACATTTCATAAGCTGAAGAAGTATCAGAAATGTGGCGTCTTCTGGTTATATGTACTGTACAGAGAAAATAAAAATGGCATTTTGGCCGATGAGATGGGACTAGGAAAAACAGCACAGACATGTGTATTCCTCGATTACATGTATCGAACGAAGGAACTACAAAATAAGACTATCATTGTCGCTCCGACCAGTTTACTCAAAAATTGGAATAACGAAATTAACATGTGGTGTCCTTACCTGAGGAATCATAAAATTATCTACTATGGAAATCAAAATGAAAGAAAATATCTTGCATATGATATTTTTACAAACAAGACGAACAATATACATTTAATCGTAACCAGTATTAATATGCTTATGGGAAAAAATGATGTGTCCTACTTCAGACAGATTAAGAAGTATGACTACCTCATCTTTGACGAGGCTCATTTCTTAAAAAATAAAAACTCATTAATATACAAAAAATTACAGAAGAAAATCGTTTTTAATAATAAAATTCTGCTGACAGGGTCACCCATCCAGAATAAGACAGAGGAACTGATGAATCTTCTTCTTTTTCTCATGCCAGAAATATTTACCGAAAAGAATATCAATAATGCAATGAATGCTTTTGTTAAAATGTACGAAGACATCCTCAACAGTAAGGAGAATGACGATCAGTGTATCCTAGAATCTGATGGCACCCCTCTGAAGAATGCAAAGACACTGGAAATTTACGAGATCAAGTCTATGGAAAAGAAGGAACCAAGCGAGATGAATGACTCCAGAAATAGTGACGAAACCTACAGGGAGGAAACCAGAAATATCATAAGGAATTACCTCATCGAAACCATTAAGAACGATGTGAAGTATGTCAAATTGAAGAATAAGGAGATTATTCTGCTGCAGCTCATTATTGAGCCGTACATATTGAGGAGGTCCAAAAAACACGTCTTTATCGACATGCCGAAGAAGCATAGCATAATTATTAAGCTGCCCCTCAACACAACGCAGCTGAATCTGTACAAGGATGAAATAATGTCCAAGATGCAGCATACGCATAAGCACCTGGAGTTTTTGCAGAACCATTCGGATGAGAAGGAGCTCCAGAAGCTGGCACTCATCTTCGAGAAGAAGGACATCAAGCGGGAGAACCTTTTCCGCGCGAGCAGCGACGGGGGGGATGGCGACGGTGAGGAGGAGTCGGGAGCCACCCCGAATAGGTGCAGTCACGTGGGGGAGCCTACGGATGGGCCGCACACGGAGGCGGCGAGTGGAGCGGTGACTGGACCGTCCCATGGTGTCTCTTCCAGCTCGGATAGTGGGCACCCTGTAGGTGAGGCAGACTTCGAAGGCGGAGTTGCCCCAGCGGAAGAGCCCAACGACTACGATGATGAGGACGACAAAATTGGTGAAGAAACCATCAACATAGAAAAAGCAGAAGAAAACAAAGACAGCAACATCATAATCAACAAAAGGAAAGACGAACCGGTGGACGATGAAAGTGCTAACAACACCAGCAAAGAAGTTCGAGGAAAAATGATAAATGCATCCATCTTCATTTTAAGGAGAATATGCAACCACCCACTTCTACACAAGTACTACTACTCCGTTGATGACATAAAAAAAATATCAAAATATTTCTACGCCAACACAGATCAGTATCTTGACTTGGACTTGAAGACAGTCGAAAATGAATTCATGAAAATATCCGATTTTGATATTCACCTCTCCATTAAGCATTTAATATCACAAGGAGATGAGAACCTAAACAAGTACCTAATTTCAAAGGAGCACATATTAAACAGTAGCAAGATACACCATATGATTTCTTTGATTAAGGAGATTAGGAAGAAGAAGGAGAAGGTCCTCATTTTTTCCCAGTTCACTACCTTCCTTGATATCATTGAGGAGGCGCTTCTGTACGAATTTATTTACGACGAGCAGGACTTTTCGGACCATCTGCAGGGCGGGCAGAGCGGTCACCTACAGGGGAAGAGCCACCTCAGCGGGAGGGAAAACGCGGGTGATGCTGGCGAAGCAGACGAAACGGACCGAGCAGACGAAGTCCACCAGAGCAACTCCGGTAAGGAGGATGACCCCAACAGCGACTTCAACAAAAATGACAAGGATCTGTACCTGTCGTCCTCCACCACGTCCACGCCCTCGTACACATCCGACCGCAAAGGGAACAACCAAATATACGTCCGCCTCGATGGATCCACCAACACGATAGAGAGGCAGAAAATTATAAAGCGCTTTTCCAAGAATGATGACGTTTTTATCTTCCTCCTGTCGACCAAGGCGGGCGGCGTTGGGCTGAACTTGATCGCGGCCAACCACGTAATACTGATGGACCAGGTAGGAAGGCGCAACGGGAGAGATCGTCGCGCAAAGATGCGTGAGAAGATTCGCATCAAACGTTACTGCGAAGATTCGTGTGAGACGTTAGTGTGAATATACGACTGTACATATGCGCGCAGAATGACCCACTCCTGGTTTGCATGCATGCCCATGCTTGACCGCCTACCCCACCCCCTGTGCAGGACTGGAACCCCCACAACGACAGGCAGGCGGAGGATAGAGTTCACCGATTAGGTAATGCGGTGGAGCAGCGAAGAGGCGCATATAAATGCTCCTTCGTACGTAATGTATATGTATGCATATGTGTGTGACCCCTAAATGGAGTGCCCCTTCAAAGCGCTTTTTTCCTTTTTTTTTCCCCCGGATTTAGGACAAAAGAACGAAGTGTATATTTACCGGTTGTGCTGCAAGAACACCATCGAGGAGACCATACTTCGGGTTAGTTATGGAATCACCTCGTTGCATGGTGGAGATGGCTTCCCTCACCGCTGCAACTGGGTGGTTCCTCTTTACCCTCATTTTCTTTCTGCTTCGTCCGAGCTAGCCAACCGCGTAGGTGTTACCCCCTCTGTTTAGTCAGCATTGCACACATTTTTTATTTACAAATATGCATCTCTCCTCTTCCCCAATTCGCAGTGTTGTAAAGCAAAGCTCCACCTGGACCAGGCCTTCGGCGGCAACAGCGACATGTTGCGAACAGCCCTTATAAAGGTAATGTGTGAACATCTCAGCTAATTTTTTTTTTTTTTTTTTTGACATCGAGAGGAAGGACTCCTCTATCCGCGTGCTCATTTTTTGGATGTACATATAAACAGTCGCAAGTGTGTATAATGTAATATACCATGGGTTTAATCTTGTTGATTGCATATGAGTGATTCATCGAGGAAACTTCCCAAGAAAAAAAAAAAAAAAAAAAAAAAAAAACCCAGTGAGCCATTGGAGGAATTTTTATACACTTGCGCGAACACTTCAAGAGAGGGGCCACCCTGTGAAGTCTCCTTTTTTTTTTTTTTACTCATCCATTTATATGTTCATAAATGGGGCAACCCCGTGCCGCGAAAAAAATGAGAAAAACGAGCCACAGAAAGCATTGCAAACCTCTATTCGGATTACCGTTGTCCGAGTACCTCCGCACCCATCCCTTCTTCCTACAACATCCTGGTTTTTACTTATTTATTTATGTATTTTTTTTTTTTTATTCCGTCCCCCCCTTAGGATGCCCTGAGTGCAATCGAGATGCAGTAAGGATAAGAAGCCTCTTTTTTTTAAGGGTATTTTTTTTTTTTCAAGTTCGATAAACCTTTTAAATTTTTCTGCTAGATTTTTTTTGCTGCCTTTCTTTGCTCACTTCTGTTGCTCCCTTTTTTTTCTTCATTCTTTTTACTTCAATTTTGGCAATCTCTCCCCTTCACGCCGCGCACACGGCCTTAATATGTCACTCTTACATACGCAGTAGTAGAAGATATTATATATATATCCATGAATCGATGCGTATAAAAAAAATTATAAATTGCATATAGATATTTTTATATATGTGAATGCAGTTATGTACACCTGCGAGGCTATGCCGACTTTCGCTACCCACGCGATGAAAAATCCATTGACCTTTTGAAAACTCGCTCAATCGTTTTTAATTTTTAAATTTTACCTCGCGACTGCCACTAAGAGACTGCTCCACACCGCAGCGACGTTTTTTGCGTCATTTTGCCAAAATTGTGTAACGTTAAACCCGCCATCGCTAAACTCGTCCGTAGCCGGACAGGGGAAATGAAAGCGCGCGCATATGGGCGTTTCGCCGGCCTTCGTACGTTTTTACATGTACATGCGTGAATGTAGATTGTAGCGATGCAGTTTGCCCTCCTGCAACATTCTTTTGATGTATATAACGTTCCGCATAGGCGTTCCCCCTGCGTACGTATACGCGACCACAGCAACCCCCCCTTTTGCATGTACGGACAAGCCGTTTAACACCCCCTGTTCCACTTCCCTTCTTTTTGTCCCTAGGGATATTCTCACCAGTCGTTTATTTTTTCCCTTTTTTTTTTTTCTGGTAAACCCGTGCAGCTGCTTCCCTTTCCAGTCCACAGTCGTCCAGAAAAAAAAAAACTCACCCCTTGCAAAAATCCGCCTGTATATGTACATATATTAGATCCATTTAAGCATATTTGTTTATATTTGTTATGCCTTTTGCGCGCGCGCCCCCTATCTTTCTAATGTATATTAACCCATTTGTGTAAACATCCCATGTTTTGTATGATATCTTTTTTCGCATTTTTCTTCGAACCTCCGCGCGTGCTCAGGCTGGCCTTTTCATGCATGCCAACAGCATTCGAGCAGTGGGCCCCTGAACATATTTTCACCTCTGGGACACGCGCCACAGTTGCGAGTTTGTCGATTTAAATCACATTTGACGCTAACAACACCTTCGACGCTAACAACACCTTCGACGCTAACAACATCTTCCACGCTAACCACACGTTTAACCCCCCCGCGCGATTGCACAAAATATAAACGGCAAACAGGAAAGTTTACGCCTCTCCCTGCCCTTCGTCGCAGGCGCGCATTTGTAATTTGTCCATCCTGGCCATATCAGCTCATACCTTCCTACGCACATACGCTGTCTCACTTGTCCCGCCCCCGTCCTTGCACTTTTAACGGCGCACATATTCTATTCGCTCTCTTCGAACATCCCCCCAATTCTTGTATACCAAAATGAAGTTTCTCAATTTCTTCTGGATCCCCATCGCTGCGGTCCTAACCCTTGTGTTGGTGTTGAATGGTAAGGATGAGTCCGTCGCGTAAATGGGCAGCCAGAAAAAAGGGAACCAGGAAGAAGCGAACCAGCAAAAAGGGAAAAGAGTAAAGCAAAAGTGTGTCGTCCGATGAAGTGCAAACGGTCATTGTGTTCCTCCATGCTGCGCCACTGGCAGCTGCAGAAATGGCTGCTAACGTAGACCGATCCGTCCACATCAGCACTCCCCCTTCACTACACCAGCCACTGCAAATTTTTCCCACCTCTCCATTCCTCACACTCTTTCTTCGTTTCAATTCGTAGGCTACGCATATTTCAACCAAGACAATTTAATCTTCGCAAAAGAAAGTAACGAGAAAGAGGAAACAAAAGAACGAAAAAAGATGTCTTCGCATGTTTCTCCGCGTGTTTCTTCGCTTTGAACAAATGTGCCACCCAGCTGCTACACCTAGCTGCTACAAAAGTAGCGCCTTCACCCCGCATCTTTACATATCCATTTCTATTCCATCCCCCTCCCCTCCTTCTGCTACCACCCCCAACGTAGAGATCAATCCCGATGCAATCCGTCCCTATGGTAATATATGTTACTCCATTCTTGCACACGAAGTTGCGAAGCGGGTCTGTCCAAATCGCCTCCATGGAGCAGACCACCTTCTTTGGAATATATTCTGCATGTAGATGATGCGTCCATCGTTACTACCCTTCTTATTCTTCACCAACCCATCGCCTCACCCCGTTTTTTTTTTCTTCCCAGGCAGTCACTTTGAGGACGTATACCTAGATATGGACGACGGGAGAAAATTTAAGTGGTACGCCTGAGAGGGAGAAAACAGGCAAAGGGAAGAATGCTCATGCACTTGTTGCTCCTCTTTATCGCCCCTCTCTTCCGCAGCTTCTTGTCTCTCCATACCACTTGGTCAACATTCTCTGCCCTCCCCCCACCTTCTCTCCTCTCAGTTGGTTTGTAAAAGCGGAAGACCACGAAAACAAACCTGTGTTCCTTTACTACCTCGGAAAGGGTGGCTGTAAGTGTTTCGGCATTTCGGTAGATTGTAAAATGTGGTGTTTCTGAGCTTCTCCCAACTGGCACATATATTTGTCCCTTTTTTGTGGATGACCCAATCACTCCTTCGCGCGGGTGGCAGCCACACATGCGCGCATTGTTGCCACTCGTTTTGTTCGTCTGTGATAACTCTCCTTTCGTAAAATCATGCCACCCCATTTTCCTTGCAGACGTCGAGAAGTATGTCAAATTGTTCGACATGATTGTGCAAAGGGTGGACGTGAGCATCTTCTCATGCTCCAACAGGGGGTAAGTAACACGAAGGGACGCACAAGGGTGGTGAAAACGGGCCCACAAAAATGGCCTGCAAAAGGCTTCCGAACGGCCTCCAAATCGCCTCCAAATGAAAAAGCTTCGCCTGTCACTTCCTACGCTCCATCTCGCAACGAAAGGGCGTACACACGTTTTTATTCCCTTCTCATTTCTCACCTCATTCTTTCTTTTCCTCCTTTCTTACCTCCAGCTGTGGAACCAATGAAGGAACTCCGTCTGAGGAACAATTGTACAAGGATGCCCTGGTGCCCCTCAACTATCTGAAGAAGAAACAGACGAAGCAGCTCTTCATTTTCGGAAAGTAAAATTTTATCTACACTGCGGATGAGCGATTGTATATGCCTTGTGGCGTCGTAGAGATGTGGTTTCCGCATACGTGACTGCGCCCTGGCCACTGCACCCACTCTAAAGGTTGCCCCTGTCGCTTCTGCATGGCGATTCGTAACAATTCACTCCCCCTCCCCTTGTGCAGCTCCATGGGATGCGCAGTGGCCCTCGAAACGGCATCCAGGCACCAGAAGGACGTAAGTGTTTTTTTTCCCCCGAGTGGCGTTGGGAAGGCGGCATTTGTAGTGGCCTCACTGCATGCGGCGTGGTAGCCTTCTGTTTTTGCATGTATCGTTGGATGCATGGTTGCATGCATGGTTGCATGCATCATTGGATGTATCGTGGGATGTATCGTTGCCTGTATTGTCGCATGCATTTTTTGTTTCCCCGCCTCGCATTTGGCCACAGGCCAAATGACTTCCCGGAAAGTTGTTTCTTTTTTTTTCTTTTTTTTCCTCCTTTCCACATGCATTATTTCACTCCACATCCTCCTCCAATTTTTCTCTCCCCTCTTCCGCAGATTCACGGCGTGATCCTAGAAAACCCATTTCTCACCATTAGGAAAATGTCGGAGCAAAACTACCCCTTCTTAAATTTCTTCCTCTTAAATTATGAAATTTTGATTAGAACCAAAATGGACAATGAAGAGAAAATAAAAAGATTACACGTTCCTCTGCTGATTAACACATCAGGAATGGTAACTTTTTTGAGGAGGGAGAGGGGAATGATGCAGCTGGGGGAAGCGAAAAAATGAGCGACACGGGGCAGCGTGTGATATGTGTAAACGTGTGTAATGTCATAAGTATGGGACACTTATGTATATCTTCCGATTTTTTTTTTTCTTTTTTTTTCATTTTTTTTTTTTTTTTTTTCTTTTGGTAGGACGAACTAGTCCCCCCTGAGCACTCGAGGATATTATTTGAGGTACAATACTCCTTAAATCCACGGCCACATGCCTGTTTGTTTGCTTCCGCTGTGAGGCCTTCCGCGTTTCGCAGCAATATTTAGATGGCGGCGGAGGTTACTTCAATCGCTTTCTCACATCACCACTTCGCCATTTCAACCGCTTTCTGACTTCACCACTTCGCCATTTCAACCGCTTTCTGACTTCACCTCTTCGCCATTTCAACCGCTTTCTGACTTCACCTCTTCGCCATTTCCCCCCCCCCCGCAGTTCTGCCCGAGCAAGTACAAGTTTAGGTACGTGTCGAAGAAAGGGACCCACAACAACATAATAAAGGGCGATGACGGTTCGTATCACGCGTCGTTGAAGAAGTTCGTCCAAACAGCAATCTCTGTGCGCGAGGGGAAAGCAGAACGACAGATACAGCCACCACCCCCAGCAGCGGCGTAGAATTATTCTCTTCCACCGGGTGAACATCCGTCTTGTCTCGTTTATGCGGGCTCAGAGTTTTACAGTGAAACCATTGAAGGGAAAGAGGAGGATGAATCGATGCATCACCTCACCAGCCGATTCGTCCGCTTCTCCATCAAACTATCACCAAGCTGTCTGTGAAAGTGTTGACCAAAGCAGTTATGATATTGTTTGGAAGCTTCGCCAGATATTTTTTTATGCGTATATTTTCTTTTCGTTTATTTTTGGCGAGGAGATTCCCTTCCACACATACCTGTTCGCCCTCCCCAAGGACAGTACTTCCAATGGGAACGTACAATCATGCAGATTCGCTACCTTTATCTCAATTCGATCATTTTTGTGTGCGGATATCCCTCCCCCTAGCTGCTAATTTGTAACTGAGGCGCGTTTTACCCACCTTTATAGCTAAAACCTTGGAAAAAAAAAAAGAAAAAAAAAATGCATATTAAACCTGTGAATGTAAAAGTTGTTCACTCGAGTGTTTTCTGTGCGTACCTTTTGTATGGCTTCGTTTATTCATCTTTTTCCATTCCATGGAATAACGCCCTTCTTTGTTTGCACATTTTGGGCCACACATCTGAGTTAGGCCTTTTTCATAGCAACCCCCCCAGGATATGCGTCCCTACGGAGGCATGTGCAAAGTGCACCGTTGTTTTTTTGCCCATATTTACATTTATACCTGCGTTACTCACGTGTTACAGAAGACCGTGGGGCGCGCTCAAACGAGTGACGAAAAATGAGCAAAAAAAAGAAAAAAAGCCATTCAATGTGTTTATAATTTGAAAAGAAAAGATTGTTTTTTGTGTCTGTGTTTTTTTCTACCATTTTTCATGTCACTTTATTTTTCGCGTGCTTTTTTCGCACGTGCCGCTTTGTCACCCCTCATCTCACGCATTAGTATTACTCCATTCTTAATATGCATAATTTTTACACCTCATAGTTTTTAAAAAAAAAGATATTTTTAGGTATTAATCTTTATTTTTAATTATGAATATATTTGTTTACCCTTCTTAATTATTTCATTTATTCAGGTCACATAATCGATGCCTTACTAATTGTTTTTTTTTCTTCTTCTTTTTTTTTTGCCAATTCGCTAGACCAATTCAGTTGTGTGCGGTTTATGCATCTCCTAATCAACTTTGCCTATCTGCGCCTTTGGCTTAATTTTTTTCATAATCGGGACGGTGCCTCCACGCGCGTGTCTTTTTGTTTTGCTGCAGACGTTCGATAAGGTCGCGGTCGACGGGGCAGACATATCGAGCTGCTACTTCTGCATCGAGTGAGAAGTCGAATCGGGGGAAATAAAACAGAAAATAAGATAGACGGAATTTTGAAGTCTTTGCAACGATACAATCCCTGCTGCTTTGCATTCCTGTTCTTGTCGATCGAAAAGACGGAAGGGGGGGGAAATTCCCTCAAGGGAGCAGCAAAGAATGTTCCCAAATCATACAAAGGCACAAGCGGCAGAAGCCGCACAAACGGTACCTATGGCAGAGAAGGAACAAAGAGAGGGGGAAAAATTATCAAAGTAGTTACAATTCTCTATCCCTAACCGCGACCTCATTGAATGGCTTTCCTTTTCTTTCCTTCTATTGCAACAGGGACGTAAAACTTTTCCGACTGCCCAATTGCTTCTTCCACGCAACCCCCCTCCTTTTCGCACGTAGAGTTTGCATCCATCCTTACTACAACGCGGCGACAATAAAGCGGCATCTCCAAAAATGGCATTTTTTTTTGGGGTTCGTGGAGCAGAGGGATAAAAAAGAAGCATATGCTATACTAATTTGTTTTAATTATTCAGTTTTTATATAGTATGTGATATGTT